TAGTCGGATCGTGCTGAAATTTTCGATAGCTTCCTGGACATCCTTTGCGCAGCTTTTAGTAAAAAAAGCATTTCCGGGTCATGTCAGGCCACCGAGCTATGACGTCATAATAGGCATAGCCTCTGACCGTTTTTGAAAAAAAAAAATCGTACATATCCGTAACTGGACGTGATCTCATCGACAAGAACGAACTATTCCGTGTGATTTGTCAGAATTTGACTGGAAATGAATCTTCACATTGTATGTTGTTGACCTTTCTAAGGTCAACCAAGGTAATGACCTCGCATACTCACACGCTGACCTCCGTAATATGAGCTGTGTTAAGTGGGGTTTCTTGAGGTCCTGAACCCGAATCTGTGGTTCAGTTTTCCTCTAAATGCCTTCAAGCCCGTTCCTTGACCTTAACAAGGTCAATCCAGGTCAATTACCTAGAATGAACTTCCGCCGGCGACCGTCCTCGCCGGCAGCGGGCGTGACCTTCCGTGTTCCCGGGGAATACGTCACGCCAGTAATGACTGAAATGCAGTCAACTTTACATCATTTTGTTGCTAATTCGTTGAAAGACACGGTCGTGAGAGTTTGATGTGGCTATCTTTCATAGATTCGCCAATAGGTACTGGCTAAGTAATTTGGAAGATGATAGCTTTTCACGAAAATTTGATCTTTGACCTGCCTGCCAAGCCACGTTATGAAAAATGCCCTGCCAGTGGGAGGGTTAAGATCTTTTAAAGATAGATTTTATTCTGACAGTTTTCCACCCACCCCACGTATCTCATCCCACACCTGAAATATTATATTTGGTCTTCGCGGCCTTCCATGTGGTCCCCAGTAACTTCGGGCTCGTGGTTACGCGCCTGAAAGCAAACATTCACTAATAAGAAAAAAAAATCGATCCTCGATGTGCTCATCGGGCGACTTCGCTGGTAGGTGAACTTTTTCTTCCCCGGATTGTTCACACGCCAGATCTCCACCAAGTCTTTGTAATCCATGAATTGTGCAATTGCTTTTTGACACCTGTGGTTGTTAACAACTCGTTTTGCCCTGGTAAGTCTGTCAATTTTCATATCTAACATAGTATTCCAATCGCCTCCCAAAATCATAGCGTCACAACTGAAGCGCTCAATGCTTTGAAACAGCTCTTCCAAAGCTCCGCTCAATGCTTTGAAACAGCTCTTCCAAAGCTCCAGATTGATCATAGTTGGGTCCATCGCGCGATTACAATCACTGCCCCATTTATTTCGGCTTGCATGACAATATATCGCCCATTTTTGCAAGTGTTAATACCAAGAGATTCTATTCTACTTCCTGGGAGCAGGAAGATGGCCACACCCCTACTCCTACTGTCTCCGTGGGCGAAGAAACATTTGCCGCCCCACTCGTTACTAATGATTGCTTCTAATTGTTGGTCGCTGTGCGTCTCCTGCAACAATATTACATCGGCGCTCATGTTTTTCAGCCATGAAACCTGCTGATCTCACCGAACATTCGCCTTGCGTAATCTCCAGACAAAATATCTACATTGAGGGTCAGGTCAATTTTGCGACCTCTCCATTACCTATTAGTTAACCCGCGCCGTGCTGGTGGCCTGTGTTTTCCGTGTCGTGCTGGGGGGGGGGACGTTTTCACGCCCCCCTCTAACTCGGCTCCCGGGTCATGTAGCGACATGCAGTAAGCGGTAATCGAAAAAGTGTCAAAAATAATGACGGAAACACTTCGTTCAATTTTTAGTTCAGGTCAAAGGTCAGGTCACCAGAGGTCAGCAAAGGTCAAATTTAGTCCATTTCAACAACTTAAGAAACTGCCAACGGCTAACTCGGAACCAATAGAGCTACAGCGCCGCGGAAAGCGCATTCGATAGCCGTTTTACCGACCTTTCTAGATTTTGCTCTCAGATTTGACCTCAGGTCAACGGTTTAGCATCCAGAGGGCAAAAACTAACAAAATAGCCGTTTTCACGAAAAATGGTTTTCGGTAATTACGAGCGAGCGAGCGCAGCGAGCGAAGCGAAGTCTTTTCAATATAACGGAAAAATCTCAGTATGAGCGGCCCGGCCCGGCCCGGCCTGTAACGCTTTTGAGAGGCTTATATCTCAGCAACCGCTGGACCGATTGGCCTGCGGTCTTTTTTGCTGGGTAGCCCCATCCCTTCTACCACGTAATTGACTACTTTTGATACATCTCAGTGACCGTCGTGGCACGTGCCACGTGAAAAGTCAAGGGTGTTCAAGTAGTTTTGCAAAAGTAATGATTTTGAGAGGCCCATATCTCAGCAGCGGCTTGAGCGATTGTCTTGCGGTAATTTTTATAGGGTAGCTGCATCCCTTCTGCCAAAGGTCGGACCTCGGGGTCACAGTTGCCATTTTCCGGTTCAGTGTGTCAGTTTTACCTACATCTCGATGTCTGAGAGTGTCTAGAATAGCGTTCGTGCAAAACATGCGCTTTTCAATTTTCTCCCATTGACTTATAATGGAGAGGCCGCAAAATTGACCTGAGGTCACCGATATCAAAATTCCGAGATATACATTTTATAGATAGTGTTGCTCTTATCAATCGCTGAAAGTTTCAAGGCAATCGATTTATCAGTGTAGCTATGACTAGCATTCTTTTTTAGGTGGGGTCACTTGGCGTGACCTGGTGACCTGACCTAAGGCGACCTGGGTCTGAAATTTTGGCCCCGCCGTTTTTGAGATATCTGCGAAAACAGCAGGGGGTGTTCAAACCCCCCCCCCCCGGCCCGGCGCGGGTTAAAATAGAGCACAAATCTCTTATATTTAGATACACATTCGGGCGAATTTCCTTAAAAAGTGTCATGACCTCTCTAGATGATCTCAGGTCAACCGAATTTGAAAAACTGGGGTACATATGATGGCACTCGGTGACTTAAGCATATCCTGCAAAGTTGGAATCAAATCGATGAAAATCTCTAGTTTTTAAGAACAAAATAGTGCATATTTAGTGCCTTTTTGACAATGTACCAGTTTTGTGACCTTGTGACCTGACCTGGGGTCACTGGAACCTAAAACTCCCAGGTCAAGTGACCAATAAGAGAAGCCCCATAGGAAGAAAAGAGGTGCCCTGGCAGAAGAGGGGGCGCCCCCAGCAGCGGAAGCGCGCCCCCAGCAGAAGAGAGGTGCCTCCAGCAGAACAGACTAGAGAGGTGCCCACTGCAGATGAGAGGCACCCCAGTCAAAGTTGAGCACAGTTGGAGCACCTCCATTGGAATGCTGGTTCGCTAAGCAGGAGAAGAACACAGATAAGACACAGATAAGACTTTTTTCATAGATAGTTCATAGATACGATACGACTCCCCAGCAGCAGGGGCGCCCACGAAGAAGCCAAAAGAGGTATGTATGTACACACTACACTCCCATAAGAAGTGGGTCGGACCAGAAAGAATAAGGGCACTCCTATCAGAAGATGGGCGTCCGAGATAAAAAACGCCTACAACAAATTGGTCGCTCATACAAGAAATCAAGCGACTAAAGCAAAAAGTTAGCGGCCCCATGTGGGACTGGGCGATTGACGTAGAGGTTGGGCGACCCGACCCGCGTATGGCATTCCAGCATAAATGTGGCGTTTTCAGAAAAAAGAGTGACATCACTGGTAGTAGAAGGAAGACGCACGAGCAAAAGGTCACCTCTTTTGTTAACATAGTGGCGCAAAAGAGGACTTAATTTTACAACTTTTGATGATAGCTTTCCTTCAATGCAATCTAGCGAAGCTTTTATCCTCCCACCGGAGCTGATTTACCAAAGCTGCAATCTTATTTCCTATTAGGGAGAGTAAGATGCCCCTACCCTTACCCACCCCATGGGGTAAGATGCCCTTTTGCAAGACTTTTTAAAACATCTGTGTCTCTCACTACGCAGGTGATGAAGCAAAATTTCCAGCCTGCAAGGAAGGAGAAATAGTTGGTCTATTCTAATGCACACAAATCTCAATGGCGGATGCAGTTGTCCGGAGAGTTTCTACATTTTCCCTTAAGGGAAAATGTCTTACCCCACTCTCCCCTATACTTTTTGTTTGAGTGAGGTCAACTTGAGGAATTGACCTCGGGTCACGGTCAGGTCAGAGCCCCTAGGTCACGACCTTGATGGAAGGAGGTCATGTCGCAAATCACTCGATTCGGCAGGTCTTACCGAGTTCATTGGTGGCTTTCACGACTCGCTAGCTCAATTTGATCAAGTCGAGCGAAAAACTTATGATTGACGAAAAACTTATGACCCTAGTGACGTCATATATGACGTCATGCAAGTTCAACAATGCAAAAGTGAAGCGTCGAAACTTGCAAGGAGTGCATGAAATCACGATTCCGTGTGGCGGGGATAGTTTGAGATCGTTCCCGGCGCCAAAATAGCAGTTTTCATTTTTTCCCCATTGACTTGTAATGGTGAGGTCACGTGAGCGACCTGACCTCATGCGATCTTAAGGAAAAATCCGAGATATACATGCTGTGAAACCTCTGATGGATACTATTTCCTGTAAGTTTCATCTCCGTGTGAAAGCTTCTCTGGCACTGAGGGTGTTGCGAAGTTGCGACTTCTGAAGACCGTACAGAGGTTCACTTATGACGTCATACTGACCTGAAAATGAGGTTGATGTGAAAAGATCCGGCTTGAATCTCACGTATTCCAAGTTTCATCTCTCTATCGCGAGGGAGGGCGGCACCTGCCCCCTCGGCCGGCGAGGGTTAACCCTCTTCCCCCACAGCATTTCACTAACCCCCTAAGTGGTGGGTGGTAAAATGCCCCAGCAACCGCCGGGTTTAAAAAAGAAACAATGCGAATCGGCACTGCCGGAGGGGATGCGGGTGCCGTCTGACTTTTGTGGCTGGCTGGGAACCTGTGCCGGTGTGCCGGTGTGCCGCTGGGCACGTGTCGCGGTGTGCCGGCCGCCAGCGCGGCGGTTAGTCATGGGCCGGGTGGGCACTGGGCAGTGACGCACGGATCCGTCTACTAGCCGCCACTGACCGGCTCGCCGACCCCCCCCCTCCCCCCGCAGATCAGCGCCGGTCAACGAGAAGCTTAAGCACAAGGGCGCCGCTGACGAGATGGATACGGCGGCGTTGGCCGAGTTCTCGGGTCACTGAGCGTCTGATGGGCGCGGCGCACCTCCGACACCAGTGACCGCTGCTGCTGACCGGATGTTGCCCCTGTCTGCACCTCCGACACCAGTGACCGCTACTGCTGACCGGATGTGTGCCCCTGTCTGCGCCTCCGACACCAGTGACCGCTGCTGCTGACCGGATGTGTGCCCCTGTCTGCACCTCCGACACCAGTGACCGCTACTGCTGACCGGATGTTGCCCCTGTCTGCGCCTCCGACACCAGTGACCGCTGCTGCTGACCGGATGTGTGCCCCTGTCTGCGCCTCCGACACCAGTGACCGCTGGGTTCTCATTGATGCATGTTTGTGTAAAAATGACAGCATAACGGGCGTTTGTTTGCTTTTTTGCCAAGTTCTCTAAGCTTCGTACGATCTTCTTGCCATCTGCTTCAAATTCATGAGGGATAGAGACCCAGCTATCAACCGGCAAATGAACATGACGGGTATTCTGTCCTTATACGATGGAAGACCCTTGGCGCCCAGATAGATAGCACTTAGGTTTTAGACTTGTGTGCTAGTTGATTATGTGTAGGCCGAATGCATGCGAAACTGTCATTGAAACATGTGTGGCTTGTCTGATGATTGTAACTGAATGTAACTGAACCGATGATTGTAACCGAATGATGTAACTGAATGTTTGTGTTATACGAAATGCGTGTCGGTGTTTAATGAATATGTACGTCGAGTGTCCGTATATTTGCGCTGAAAATGTAATCGCGAGAGGTGCCATTGCAATGATCATGTACGTTTGTACATACTTTAAAGTGCTACATCAAATTGAATTAGATCCGTGTAAATAGGAAACTCACTAGGGTTACCCGCATGCTCCGCAACGCGAAGAAGGGTTATTTTTGACCCGTGGGTATTGGGTTGGTCTGTATCGATTTGGTTGGTATCCATTTCGTTCGATTGCTTTTTGACGGCCAAGCATTTTGTAATAAAACAAAAAAGATGCATCGTATCGAGGTGCCCGTGTCGTATTATCATGCGTTCTACTTTAGAATGATTCGAAAACTGGTGTGAGGTCTTTTGAGGGCCATCGATGAATTTCGCTTAAAATGACAATGTAATACCTTGTACCTTGTACCTTGTAGAATACGAGCTGTTTGAGGTGTTCTACACCTGTTTTGCTCGCTCTTTGTTTGAATTTCTTAATCTTCTAAGTAGTTTAACCGTGATTTTTATCATGTAGCAAGTATCATTGTTATAATTGGCTCTTGACTTCTAAAGATGCCTGTATTTTTCTCTTGCCCATAGCTTGTCTAACAATGCTTTAAACTCGTTCAGTGATGGGGCCATTACAACCTCTGCAGGTAGAGAATTCCAGTCATTAATGACTCGTATGCTCCAGTGATTGCTTCTTGCCCTCGATTGGGCATGGGGCTTTGCGACCTTGAGCGGGTGACCTCTTGTAATTCTACATGTGGGCTCAGCAAAGAAGTTTTCCCTTGGCAGATCAAGCTTACTGTGCATTACCTGGTAGCATAATATAACATCGCCTCTTCTTCTTCTATATTGGAGTGAAGGAAGCCTTAGAATTCGAAGACGTTCACTGTACGGCAGATCACGTATGTGGCTTACCAACCTTGTAGCCCGCCGCTGGACCCTTTCCACCATCAACTGGTCTTCTTTATTGTGAGGTCCCCAGATAGCGTTGCCATATTCAAGCAGAGGCCTTACCAAAGTCTTGTATAGGAGCGGAAGGGTCTGTGAGTCGATGTTGGCAAATGATCTGCGTATTGCACCAAGCACACGGTTAGCTTTTTTAACTGCTTCTGCTGCTTGAGTTCTGAATTTTAGCATTTCATCAATTGTGACTCCCAAGTCTCTTTCTTCTGAAACTTGCTGCAATGGGACGTCATTTACAGTGTATTTTTGCTTGGCATTGTTTGTTCCTAGATGTAGGGACTTGCACTTTGATGTGTTAAATGGGAGCATCCATTCTTTTGACCACATCTCAAGAGCATGAATATCTGCTTGAAGTGACTGACATTCCTGTTTGGACCCAGAACAGCCATATAACTTGGTGTCATCTGCAAACATGCGAACCTTATTTTTCAGCATGGTGGGAAGGTCTGCAACGTAGAGAAGGAACAAAGTCGGACCGAGGACTGTCCCCTGCGGAATGCCACTAAGTACAGGTGCCCACTCAGACTTGACTCCATTTACAACGACTCTTTGCTTTCTTCTTGTCAAGAATGCCTCAAGCCATGCTAGAACTTGGCCTCTTATACCAAAACATTGAACCTTCTTTAGCAGTCTTTGGTGTGGAACAGAATCAAAAGCTCTTTGAAAATCACAGTAAATCACATCTACAGGACGTCCTTCATCTAGTTGTTTAGTCCAGTCTTCAAAGCATGTAAGAAGCTGACTAATGCAGGAACGACGTGGTAGGAATCCGTGTTGTTCGTCACATAGCTGCTCGGTTTCTTGTAAGTGTTTTATAATTGAATCTCGCACCAATGACTCGCAAACTTTGGATAAAACTGAGGTTAAGCTGATCGGTCTGTAGTTGCTTGGGTCATGCTTGTCGCCTTTCTTAAAGATAGGCACAATCTCCCCTATTTTCCAGTCTTCTGGAACCATCCCCTCCACTAAAGACTTGTTGATCAGGACACACAGTGGGAAGCTGAGTGGGCCTGCAAGGTCTTTAAGTATCTTCGGGTGCAAGCCGTCAGGCCCCGGTGCCGCCGACGGGTTCAGCTGACGAAGTTTGGCTTCAACTAAGCCAGGAGTAACACTGATGTGATCCAGTACTGAACCAGTCCATGTTGATGCAGGATGCGGTATTGATGACAGATCCTCAACCGTAAACACACTGGAGAACACTTGGTTTAAGATGCTTGCTTTGCTGCCATCATCTGTGATATCAGGCTCAGCTCCGTGATTCATCCGCAGGTTGGCAACTCTTGCCTTTGTCTTTGTTCTGCTGCTAACGTAATGCCAAAAGGCTTTCGGGTTTTCTTTTATGTTTGCAGCAAGCCTTTTCTCGTATGAAAAACGAAGCGACCTAGTCAAGCAGCGAAGGTCATTTCGGGATCTGACGTAACGAGCATAACTTTCAGAGTCCTGATGAAGTACGTATCTGAGCCACATCTTTTGTTTCCTGTTCTTCATACAAAGGGCTTGTTGGTTCATGTATATGTTGCGATGTTGGCCAAACGACTTTTTGACCGGAACACAAGTGTCAATGGCATGGCGGAGTTTCGTAATAAAACAATTGTAAAAAGCATCAGCGTCGATAGAGTTCATCTCAGTCCATGATGTACTACACAGCATTGCCGTCATTTTTGGCATGTCAGCCTTATACAAGACTCGCTTGTTGACAGAACTACGTTCTGGGGCAGAGTAGCATTCAAGCTGAAATTCCAGCATCACATGGTCGCTGCAACCCAAACCAGGTCTCGTTCCCAACCGTTTGACCATATTCTCTTCATTGGAAAACACTAAGTCGAGCAGACTTGGGACAGTTCCTTGCCGAAACCTTGTAGGCTGCAGCACGTGCTGGTGGAGATAGCAATCTCTTACGACTTCTAGAAATTCGTGACTGTAATGGTTGCGTGGAGCTCTGCTGAAACCTAATTCCCAGTCTATATCACCCATGTTGAAATCCCCCACTATGAGCAAGTGAGACGGATTCGCTGCCTCTACTTCCCGAAATAGTTGATTGAGCTGCTTGGTGTTTGATGCATCCGTCGACGGACTTCTATAGATGCAGCCTACTAGCAATGTATCATTGCCAGCAAGACCAACTTCAATCCATAATTGCTCTCTGAAGTTCGTCTTCGGATAGTATTCCCCGACTTTGAGGTGTTCGGCACAATATATCATGACACCTCGGAGTCCACTGGCTCCCAGATCAGACTGGGCTGGAGAGAAATTCAGGTGCATGGTGTATCTTGGGATTTGAAGAAAAGCAGGATTAATAGGTACAGTTTGCGCTTTAGGGATAACTTCTGAAATACAAATTATGTCCGGCTCATTTCCTGCGATTTCCATGCACAGCTCATCCCTTTTGTTAAGAAATTGATCCGCATTTGTGTAAAGTATATGGATCACTTTGCCGAATGATCTGGTTTTACTTGACTGACATCATAAGGCACGAGGACGACTTCCATCAGCAGCGCCAGCTATGCACCTTCCAGAAGACGTACGTGACACTTCATCACAGTTAGAAGGATGATCACTTCCCATCGATGTTGTCTGTCCATTGGTGGTTCTTGGTTGGAGCTGTCTTCTCGTACTGCTTTGTACAATTCTTCCTCTTTGAATGACTAGGTTCAGCTCGCCACCAGCTCTCCTTCGGGCTAGCTCATCACGCAGTTGTTTTCCCTCCGCTCGCTCCTGTGCTGACAGATCTGGGTTAATGAATATTCTTGGAGAAAACCTGCAGTGCTTCAGCTGACTGGCTTCGCGTAGAATATCCCATTTGTTCGCCTCACTCTCGAGCGTCACTATTAATAGTCGCGGCCTAGTGTCCTGCCGCTTACCAGCTCTGAAACACCGCACGGGTGTCACGATCAGACGCAGCTCTTCGCGTACGACCTCGGTAAATTTGGTCAGATCATCTTTCATTCTGTCTCTGCCAGTCTCGCTTGTGGATTCCGGCAAGTTGAAGACAACCACGTTTTTCTTTCGCTTTTCTCTATCTAGATGCTCATCAAACATCGCGACGATCTGCTGCCGTGTCGCTGCAGAATCCTGCTCTTGTGTCTTGGAAATGTCCTGCTGGGGTCGAGTAATCGCTTTTGAACCAAATGCGGCACGTTCATCAGCTGACTCTTCCGTTCCCATGCGATGTACGACGTGCGAAGCTGGTCGTTGAGTGGTCTGTTCCAGGCGGCCTACCTGGGCCGATAAGTCACTTACATTTGCAGACATCTTGCGCAGCTCATTTGTCATGGACTCTAGCCTCGCGCCCGTAACGTCAACAACGGCGTCACAGAGTCCAGACACCTGGGCGATGCAGGAGAGCTGACTGTCGTTGTGTTTTTCTATCATATGCTCCAGCATTTTTGCTTGGCTTTGCACTACTCTTTCTAGGTCTTGCTGTCCGCGCTGGATAGCCTCAGCTACCTTTGCTTGTGTTTCTATAGCAATCTTCAGCTGATGTTTGTGATCGTGCAGAGACTGACTAACAACGTCCATCTCATCTATCAGTGCCACTGTTGGAGTTAACTTCTTTTCCACTTTGCAATCACGTACTTTCTTCTCCACTTTCGTGACAGGTGTGTCCAAAGTGACTTTGCAAGTATCGCAGATCATGGGTCCATTTTCTGTGTCAGGAATGTCACAAGAAGTCCCAACACTGATCATGTGCTGCCTTATCTTGTTACGGTGTTTTCTTCTGCTGACACGAACCCACTCGTTACTGGATGGGTCGTACCCAGAGACTGAGCAGTCAGAATCTTCAGTTCCGTCTGAACTGATCATGGTATTCCCCCGTTGACGTCAGAAGAGCGAAGGGAGTGCTTAGCTTAAAGCACGCGATCAACAACGAAAAATCGAGCAATGTAGGCGAGACTCGACTACTCGAAATTGATGAATTTTACTATTACTATGAATTTTACTAGTAATGGTTTGGAAAATTTACATTTAAGAATACTGTTGCTCATCATGCAAAAATGAAGACTGAACCTTGGACAGAATTAAATGCTCTTTCCAACGGTGCCATTTTTAATTGCCAGA